GTGCGTTCGAAATAAGTTTGGTTGGTGTTGGGAAAAGAATAAAGTTGGCAGTATTGAAAATTACCAGTGCTGCGTTTCGTTTCTTCCACTGGGATCACTGCGTTATACGAAAAACATAAATAACCTATTTCAAGTGTTGCAATTAGATTATTATTATGGAAGAATATATTATATTCCAAAACATCATGTTTGAATCTTCGAGTAGTTCCTCTTCTTCAGACAGTGATGATAATGAAGAATTGCAAAATATTTTATTCGATAATAGAGGTAACAATAGAGATGAAAGGAGAATAGTACCAAAAATAACAAATTATTTGGAAAATGTTGTTATAAGATATACAAATATTGAATTTAAATCACATTTTAGGTAAATCATATAACTTTATTATAATTATAGCATTATTAATATAAAACACACATTCATGTTAATAATAATGTATGTGATATTATTTGTTATAGGATGGAGCGTAACACTTTTTATTTTTTATTGCATTTTATTGGATCCAAATTAGAATCTTTTCCATTCATGGGAAGAGAACAAATCAATACAACAAAACAGTTATTAATAGCTATTTATGTTTTGGCAACACCAGATTCTTATCGCTCCATATGTGAAAGATTTGGTGTTGCCAGATCAACTGCGTGGTTTAGCGTCAAAAGAGTTGTTCGAGCATTGTACGGCCTTCGAAATCTTTTCATCAGATGGCCTACCTATGAAGAAGCTCAAACAATATGGACAAACATACAGACATTATATGGATTTCCGAAAGTCCTAGGTATCATTGATGGGACACATATAAATATTGCCCGGCCAAAAAGAGATGCTAGTAGTTATATAAATAGAAAAAGCAGATTCTCCATCCAATTACAAGTAAGGAAAAATATTTTTTTTATTAAATATATTAATTTTAAGAGATAATAAATATTACAAACTTTATTAATATAAATTGAATGAACAATATGTAGAAACAGAGCGAATTTTGTTTGTTAAGAATTATATTTTTTTTCTAGGTAATCTGTAAAGATAATTTGTCTTTCATTCATGTCTTTGCTGGAATGCCAGGTTGTGTGCACGACATGCGAGTGTTTCTTTATTCTGGAGTGCAGCAATATTGTACTCCAGAATTTTTCCCCGAAGACAGTCACTTATTAGGTGATGCAGCGTATAGTATACAAAAAAATGTCATGGTACCATTCTACAATAATGGTCATTTAATTAGGAGACAGAAAGAATTTAATCGTTATTTGTCATCTGCCCGAATAACCGTAGAAAGAGCAATCGGATTATTGAAAGGACGATGGCGTTATTTATTGGATAAATTACCAATGACAAGGACGAGATTTAGTTCCATATTATGTAGTTAGTTGTTGTGTATTACACAACATTTGTTTATTGAATAATGATGCTATTGAAATCCCTATTGTTGTACCTGACATGCTACACGAAATGGAACCGTTAGCTATTACTAATGAATTGAGAGAAGAAGGAAATATAAAAAGAAATCGATTAATGGAAATAATTACAAATAATAATTTTCAAGAAAGGAATTAGTTTCTGTATTAATATGTAGTGTGCGTATATGTGTAAATATATAAATATTTGTAAAGTATATTAATTTTTATATAGCATTCTTTAAAATATATGATAAATAAATGAAATAAAATGAATTGACATTTTAATATTTATTATTAATTTTTATTATATTTATGATAAGTAATAAATACAAAATTAGAACATTTAGTAAGCAATAGTATTCTAAAGAAAAGAATTTACAACACATATCTTGTAAATAAAAAATAAATTTTATTACATTTTGACCTTTGTAGTAGATATGTAGGAACTAGATTTTTTGACATAAATGAACACAATATTTTTTATAACAAATAAAATTGATAGTAAAAGAAATCTAGAAGATAAATAAAAAGAACAATTAGTTAATTTACTTTAGTAATCTATCACAGCACTATTAATAATTATTAATAGAATTGTCAATATCACAATCTGAATAGATTTATAATTTGTTTAAATAAAAAATAATATTTTAAAGTTTAATTAATATCATATATATATAATAACATATTTGTATAAAACTTCTTATTTTGTAATATACTTTCTTGTCATAATATGTACGATATTTTAATATTTCTTATATGCAGTCTTGTATATGCAGGAATTTATTAATAGTTTTAATTTGTGTACTTTTTCTTTCCTGAGGCTCTTAAATGAATATATAACTTGTAATTTCACAATATTTTATGCTCTAAGTCTTGCGACACATAATTGTTTTGTATCTCAAGTCTTAAATCTTTATTATGTATACAAAGACAATCTTCGTACACATAATATACTTTTAAGACTTCAAAAACAGTTATTGTGTCAAAAGATTTCAAGCATAAAACGTTGTTTTAAAATTATTAGTTAGTTATTCTGCTAAGATTTCATCAAATGTTTATATCACTTTCTTGTTTGAAAAATTTCTTTTAAATCTTTTAAAATTTTTAATTTTTCTGCTCTATATTTAGCTGTTTCTTCTCGTTTTATACGTTTTTCTTCTAGTGATGTCCGCAAATAATTAGCTTTTTCTTCATGTAATGAGATTTTCTTTTGTTCTAAAAAAAATATTGTTAATTATAAACTTAAGTAACAATAAGAAACAATAAAATATACTCTTGTAGCTACTAACTTTTTGGCGAGTCATTATCATTGAATACCGACTTTTCAGATTCTCTAATGTTTGATCCCGCTACAGATATTGGTTTTACCCATGGTTTATTGCAAAAGAGCTCATCTAATGACTAAAATATACATATGACTAAAATATACATATTATTTTACAAGGAAAAGTTATGAATAATTATTTATACTGTTAATTATAAAAATTTTTATTATTAATAACAAAACTAAACAACTTTTATAATTCAGAATATTTTGTTATATAATATATTACCTCTAAATATATCCATTCTTTTTTATCATTTCCACTTTGAGCGTTGTGATCGATAATTTGACGATACCGTCGTTTCAAAGTGTCCATTTTATTATAACATTGAGTGACTGTAAAGTTATATTGTTTTTCCTTCATGCGTTGGGAAATTAGATTCCACATTTTTTTATGGGATTCTTTGCCCAACATATACGACTTTTCTTTATATAGCGAGATCAACAAAAGTATAGCATTATGTGTCCATTTTTCAATTGATTCTAAAAAGAAAAAAGTAAAAATATTTAATAAATCTTGCTAGTTTTCTGTAATTGTGCAATAATTTAAAT